TGTGAACCGCGTGTGCAAGCCGGAGACGGTGCACGTCGACCATCTGCTCAAGCTTGAGAAGTTCAGCCATGTCATTCACTTGACTTCGCAAGTCTCTGGCGTCCTGAGGGCCGGTAAGACTAGGTACGCCTTTTCAGGCAAGACAGCTTCTGTCGCCCCTTGTATCTGACGATTACGGTATAGGTTCGACGCGTTCCGATCCATCTTCCCCGCAGGCACGGTGTCTGGAGCTCCGAAGATTAAGGCCATTGAGCTCATCTACGAGCTTGAGAAGCAGCGCCGAGGCGTTTATGCCGGCGCAGTGGGACGCTTCGACTTCGCCGACGACGAGATGGACACTTGCATCGCCATTCGTACCATGGTATTCAAGGATGGCATCGCGTATCTACAAGCTGGAGGAGGTATTGTTTACGACAGCGTGGAAGAGGACGAGTACGTGGAGACATTGAACAAGCTCAAGGGTAACATGAGAGCGCTCGATGTAGCGGAACGTACGTTGTCTCAACTTACCTCCTTTGATGGAGAACGTGCTGACCACACGGGACCTCGCAGAGTACTGGCACGATATCCAAAATGCGAAGGGTGCGCCGGCATAATGATGTATTAAAGAACATATTGTAGTGTACGAGTGGCGATCTATGCTGAGTGTGGCTCCCTGTGCCGTGGCCCCTTCTTGGCTGCCACAAGTGCAGCCTTTGCCTGCTCCTCCTCGTAGAGCGCGACACCTTCTCGACCCGCTACGCTGAGAAGTCCCGCGATGAGCTCTGCTGTCCGTGTGCTCTCGTCGTTGGCCGGAATGGGGTACATGACAACCCGAGGGTCGACGTTCGAGTCGACGATACCGATGGTAGGTACATGCTCGAGAGCGCACTCTCGTATGGCGTGGATGTTGGGGATGGGATTGAGGAAGATGACGAGGTCGGGGACGACCTGCTCATCCTTCGCAACGTCGGGGCCGAACATGTGGACCCTATTCGTCAGCGTACCTGGCAGCCAACGCTCGCCAACGTGGTAGCCCTGCTTGCCCAAACGTTCCGCCGCGAGACGTACGGCTGGCCGGAGGTCCGACCGCGTGCCGACGAAGACGATGGACCCTCCGCGTGCAGCGACACCTCGTACGACCTGCGCGGCACGTCGGAGGAGAGGGAGGGTGTGGTCGAGGTCGATGATGGTGATGCCTGCGCGGACACCGTAGGCATACGGGATGAAGTTAGGGTTCATGCGTGTCTCCGAGTGACCAAAGTGGGCCCCGGACGCGATGAGGGCGGAAAGCGTGATGTCAGACGGTGCTACGGGTCGGTGGAGGGAGTGGTGCGGTTGGAAGGTGTTGTCTCGGTTCTGTGTTGAACCGTACTCGGAGAAGGTATCAACTGCGACGGGGCTCAATACCTCAAGTATACAGATGAGCACACATATCACGCACTCAGTGTCTGATATTCCGCCCGCTTCAACTGGAATTCTGTCCAGTCGTCCGGGGTCTCCAGCGGCCTCTCCTCAATCTTGGCAAACGAGTTATGGCGAGCCTGAGCAAGAACCGAGGTGGCGAAACGAGTCCGCCGTGAACATCGTGCGGCATTGGCTGTCCAGGAGCGGGCGAGGGATGCCATGGGTCGCTGGCTGGACGCGGTGGTGGCGGAGAATAACAAGTCGCGCGCTTCCGACAAGCGCGTGGCAGCCGCTTACCTCAGCCGCCTCAATCGATTTTTTTCTGCTTGACGCCGCGGGCGAGATCCTCCAGCTTTGGCCTAAGCCTTCACCATCTCTCTTCCCCTCTCTCCTCTTCACTCTTTCTCTCCCTTATCAAAACAAAAATGGAGGATATCTTCGACGGTGCTATTGGCATTGATCTCGGTACCACCTACTCGTGGGTATCTTCGTCCGGACTGTGCCGTCCGCAAAGCCTAAATCTATGCAATCTTACAGCTGCGTCGGTGTCTGGCAGCACGACCGCGTCGAGATCATCGCAAATGACCGTACGTACTTCCTCTGCATACCTCGAACGTATTTCAACAATTTTATGTAGAGGGCAACCGGACGACGCCTTCGTACGTCGCGTTCTCCTCGGAGGAGCGCCTGATCGGCGATGCCGCCAAGAATCAGGCCGCGATGAACCCCAAGAACACCGTATTCGATGCTAAGCGTCTTATTGGCCGGAGATATGAGTAAGTCGGCTGCTTGTCTTTGCGCGATTGCTTTGGGCTCATTTTATATCATTTTACTAGCGACCCCGATGTCAAGAAGGACATGACCCACTGGCCCTTCGAGGTCATCGACAGGAACGGGTCTCCTTTCATCAAGGTTGACTACCTCGGCGAGGAGAAGACCTTCAGCCCCCAGGAGATCTCGTCAATGGTCCTTACCAAGATGAAGGAGATCTCAGAAGCCAAGCTTGGCAAGACCGTCAAGAAGGCTGTTGTAACGTGAGCAATTTCCTTCTCAATGCCTTCCGAAGAGCTTCATGTCAACTGTTGGGCTCAGTGTCCCTGCCTACTTCAACGACTCGCAACGTCTGGCTACTAAGGATGCCGGCGCCATTGCTGGCCTTGAGGTCCTCCGTATCATCAACGAGCCTACTGCCGCTGCCATTGCCTACGGCCTTGACCGCCAGTCAAGTGCGGAGAAGAACGTCCTCATTTTCGATCTTGGTGGAGGAACTTTCGATGTGTCACTCCTGAACATCACTGGCGGTGTCTTTGCCGTCAAGGCGACTGCCGGTGACACTCACTTGGGTGGTGAGGACTTCGACAACAACCTCCTTGACTTCTTCAAGAAGGAGTTCCAGAAGAAGACCAGCCTCGATATCTCTGGCGATGCCCGTGCCCTCCGCCGTCTCCGCTCTGCTTGCGAGCGTGCCAAGCGCACTCTGTCCAGCGTTGCTCAGACCACCGTCGAAGTCGACTCTCTCTTCCAGGGCGAGGACTTCTCGGCGAACATCACCCGTGCTCGTTTCGAGGAGATCAACGCTCCGCTCTTCAAGTCCACTCTTGACCCCGTTGAGCGTGTGCTGAAGGATGCGAAGATGCCCCGGGAGAAGGTCGACGACATCGTCCTTGTCGGTGGCTCTACCCGTATTCCCAAAATCCAGTCGCTCGTCTCCGAGTACTTCGGTGGCCGTCAGCTCAACAAGTCCATCAACCCCGATGAGGCTGTGGCCTACGGTGCAGCTGTTCAGGCCGCTGTTCTCACCGGCCAGACCTCGGACAAGACCGCCGACCTCCTCCTTCTCGACGTCGCTCCCCTCTCCCTCGGTGTCGCCATGCAGGGCGACATCTTCGGTGTCGTCGTCCCCCGTAACACGCCCATCCCCACCACCAAGTCTCGTGTCTTCACCACTGTTGAGGACAACCAGACTACCGTCACCTTCCCCGTTTACGAGGGTGAGCGCACGCAGTGTCGCGACAACCGTCTGCTCGGCGAATTCGAGCTCACAGGCATTCCCCCCATGCCCCGTGGCCAGGCTGAGCTGCACACCACTTTCGAGCTCGACGCGAACGGTCTCCTCAAGGTTACCGCCCAGGACCGTGCGTCTGGCCGCAAAGCACAGATCTCGATCCAGAACTCTGTCGGCCGTCTGTCGTCGGTGGAGATCGACCAGATGATCAAGGACGCAGAGCACTACAAGCAGGCGGACAAGGACTTCAGCGCACGGCACGAGGCCAAGGCAGACCTCGAGAGCTACATCCACCAGGTGGAGAACACGATCACGAGCCCCGAGATTGGCATGAAGATCAAGCGTCATGCCAAGTCGCAGGTCGAGGCGGAGCTCGCGCGCGCGCTCGAGAAGCTGGAGATCGAGGACTCGACGGCGGACGAGCTCCGCAAGGCGCAGCTGGGCATCAAGCGTGCGCTGCAAAAGGCGACCGCGGGCATGCGGTAGTGCGGGACAGTTTACGACCGGGCATGATTCGCAATTCTGTCTGTAGATATGGCGCCGTGCGGGCATATGTGTGTGTAGGATGTCTCCTATGATGTATGTGTACAACTCGCTGCCTCATGCATGCATACTGCTTTCGTCTGGCTCCCCGTCGCTGTCTGTTTGCCTTTGTCTCTCTTCGCTTCTCGTGCATCGCTGCCCCTGTCCTTTCTTCGATCGCATATACGTACGCAAGAATGAAGGTTTCTTTGTAAAATCAGAATACCCGTTGCGCTGCTCTGATGCGACGACAAGACAAGACAAGGCGAAAGCTACTATTGCTACAGACAACACGCAAGAGAAGAGTTGTGAAGAGTCAGGAATCGGATGTTATGGCCTTGTGAGCTCGCAAGCCGACCTCCAAGATCCAGAGCTCTTCGTCGGCACCGTCGCACAGGGCCTTGTCGGCCTCCGCGAAGACCATGGCACACCGAGCCTTCTGGCGTGCAGTAAGCGTGGGGTGCGCTACGACGTAGTCGTGGAGCTGAAACAATATCAGACGAGTTTCCCATTAATAACAAGGACATGGAGGAAGGACGTACCTGGGCTATGATCTGCGACGCAGAGTAGCCCTCACGGATGATCGCCTTCGCCTTCTTCCTCACCCCATCGAACCCCGTCGCCTTCCCGCCCGCGTCGACGTCGACATCCATCCCGTCTCCCCCGCCGGTACCGAGCGGCTCGATCCCGAGCGCGCCCGCAAAGCCCACGACGACGTCGTCGGGCACGACGCCCGCGATCTCCTGCACGTCGCGGGGCGTGATGGGCGCGGGGGGCGCGACGGACGTGGCGAGGCGGGCGGCGGACTGGAGGTAGGTGATCGCGCGGCGGAGGTCGCCGTGGGAGGTGGCGACGAGCGCGGCGGCGGTGCCGGGGGAGAGGGGCACGTTCTCGGCGGCGGCGATCTGGGCGAGGCGGGCGGAGGTGGCGGAGGGGTCGAGCGGCTTGAAGCGGAATTTGGAGCAGCGGGAGGCGAGGGGCTCGATGATCCTGTGCGGGGTGGGGTGAGTGCGTCGTTGGAGGAGGGAGAGGAGGGAGAGGAGGGAGAGGATGGAGAGGAGGGAGAGGAGGGAGAGGAAGGAGGAGGGGCGAGAAGCACCTCGTCACGTAGTTGCAGACTAGACAAAAACGCGTGATGCGCGCGTAGAGCTCCATGATGCGACGCAGGGCGGCTTGAGCATCTTGGGTCATGGAGTCGGCCTCGTCGAGGATGATGATTTTGTAGGGTGGACAGGGGTATGTTTTGCCGTCCGACGCGACGGCCTGTGCGCGGGGTGTCTGGCGGGCGAAGTTCTTGATCTTCTCGCGGACGATGCTGATACCACGCTCGTCTGACGCGTTCAGTTCGAGTACACGAGAGCGAAAGTTGTCTGGGCTGGAGAGGGGGAGAAAGTCAGATGCATGTAGAGGGCGAGGGGATGGCGAGCGTACCCGAAGAGTTGTCGTGCAAGAGCTAAGATGGTGGATGTCTTGCCGGTTCCTGGTGGTCCATAGAAGAGCATATGGGGGAGCTGCACATCAGCTTAGTGTGAATCGCGGTAGCAGGAAAGCGGAGACGTTGTACGTTTGAGGAGGTCAGTGTCTTCCTGAGGACAGCCACTGTGTGTTCTTGTGCGGAGACATCGTCAATTGTCTTCGGTCGGCTGGACAGTCCTCCGTCTGTTCGCTGCTCGACCGTTTAACGATCACACTCACTATTTCTCAACCCATGGCTGGTGCTGGGGGTCTATTGCGGACTGCTTCTGTGCAGCTTTTGTGGCCTGTGGCTGGAAGAAGGACATGGCGGGATGCAGGGCAGGGGTGACGGTCGCCGTCGGAAACGCGCTGTGACGCGTGTGGAAGCGCGAGACGTCACGGGGTGGTCACGGAGGGACGGTAGTGTGACGGAGCGCGTCGTTGGCTCTCACCTCGACGTCCTCGCCGCCCCAGTCCTCGCCCGACGTGGATGAAGACCCCGATGAGCGTCATGACAAACGCCGACATCAACAAAGGCACGTAGGCCGCGTCTCCTCTCTCTCTCAACGTTCTCATTGTCCCCGCAGCGATGCCTACCCAGGAACGCGTGCCCAGCGGTGAGTGCCTACCCCGGTTGCTACGCTTGCCGACCTGCTCAATCCCGACCAGAAAAACCAGAGAGGCCGCTGCTAGTGGAGCTGAAGAATGGCAAGCTGGTCTTCAAGCAGAAGTCCCTCTCCTTCGAGAAGATGTCCGAGACCATGCAAGGTATGTGTCTTCCCGCGGCCCGTCCCATCGCGCGATTCGAGCATGCCGCCCGACAGAGATCGTCAACTTCCGCGAGATGCTCGAGGAGAGGCTGGCAGCCAAGCAATCACCCCTGACAGCCGTCCCGGACGAGCACAAACCCGTCATTGCCAAGCTTGTACACGAGAGGTGCGCGTCCCTTCTCGGTGGTTAGAGTGTGCTCACGCGTCCGGTTCAGCGACAAGACCCTGCAGGCCCTTGCAAGGCATATACAGCAAGAGCTTCTACCGACCATGGACGAAGACGAGGAAGAAGACGCTACTCCCGCTGTCCTCCCGCTCGCCACGGTCGAGGATGCCATCAAGTCCGTCGCGAGACGTGTCAACTACGGCCTGGATAATCCTACCGAAGGTGGTAAGGTACCTGCTGCCTGGCTCATCTGGCGATGGGAGGTGTCGGATTCGTGTCGGGACTGGCTACCGAAGAATGCGAGGGAGAAGGTGGACAACAGGTATAGGGAGCGTCAGCAGGTGCGTTAGCGCGTCTCTCAACAAACTCGTCGCTTGCGCTGAAGCTGCTTCGTAGCTCAAAAGCGACGTGAAGACCCTGTTCGACTCCCTTGCCGAGAACGAGCAGATAGCCATCCTCGGGACGAAGTCCGTGCCCAAGACACCTGCCCGCGCGAAGCTCAATGTTACGAATAGCATTTCCGACACAGAGATAATCGACCTGCGCGATAGCGCAATGAATCCTACCCCTCCTGCTCCATCCAAGGACGGTCCGGAGAACGGAGAGGTACGTGCTTCATGCGTCTAGCTTGCCCGCGTGGGTCTCAATTGGCGGCACGCAGGAGACTCAGCAAGACGGTCCTGAGAAGAAGGGTGCAGGAAGACCAAAGAAACCGCTGGACACAGAGAAGGCGGCAGAAAAAGCGGCGAAGGTAAGCTCAGACTTCCGGTCATTTCCCATTTTGTATTCAAGCCTCGGATGTGTCCACGTAGGAGAAGGAACGGCAGGAAAAGAAGGCAGCGAAAGCCGAAAAGGAGAGGAAGGCCCTGGAGGCACAAGCAAAATCCCGCTCGATTATGGCTAGCTTCTTCGGCAAGGCCAAACCCTCTGCGAGTGCATCTCCCGCGAAGCCTCTGGCGTCCAAGGACGGCGAGAGCGGCTCTCCGGGACCGGCGACGGTGCAGTCAGACTTTCAACGGGCCTTTCGACCGTTCACTTTGAAGAAGGGCGCAGAACTCGCTCCTATTAACTGGTTCAGAGACCAGAGGAAACGGGAGCGTCAGAAGCGAAGGCTGGAGAGTCGGACGGAGGGGAACGTGATCGTCATAGAGGATGAGGACGAGCAGAATGATTCGGAGTTAGCGGACGTGGAGATGGAGGATATACAGGAGTCGGAAGCGCAGGGCCCTCGAGGTAAGCTCCCCAAGACGCATTCTCATCCACGGATTTCCGTACACAATCACACGACCGCAGAACATCTCCAGCACATCCTCGCTCGCCTACCCCCAGGCCTCCACTCGCCCCGCCGACGCCGCCAACCCGCCGGCTTCAAGATCTACCACCCCCTCCCCGTCCGCACGCTCATGGCGCAGCTCTCCGAGGCCGAGGTCGCGGGGGACGACACCGCCGTGCGGCGGCTGCTCGCGCTCCTGCGCGACCGCAGCGCGATCCCCGCCAAGGCGCTCTCCTTCCACGAGGACGCGCGACCGGGGTACTTCGGCACGTTCACGCGCTCGTCGCGCGAGATCGGGCCGCGCACGCCGTTCGCGCGGGACGCGGTGCAGGTCGACTACGGGCACGACTCCGGGGAGGAATGGGCGGAGGAGGACGCGGGGGAGGCGGACGACGTGCTCGACGACGGGGGCGAGGAGGAGGGCGCAGAGGACGAGCGGGACTCGGATCTGGACAGCTGGCTGGTGGACGACGATGAGGTCGAGGAGGAGGGGACGTCGGGAGGGGAGAGGGTGGGGTCTCCTGGCTCCCCGGAGCTCGAGCTGCTGCCGCTGCATGGGGCGGGGGCGAAGCGGAAGACGAAGGGGGAGGAGAAGGATGCAGAAAGGGGGGAAAGGGTCGGGGGAGGGAAGAAGAGGCGGGTCGTGGTCCCCCTCGTGCCGTTCTGCAAGGGCCCGGAGTGGGAGACGAGCATCGGGCAGTGCGCGTACGCGCCGTTCGGGGCGTACCGCATCCAGCTGTTCAACGGTGCGTGGTCACAGCATAGCCTGTGCGAGGTGGGTGCTGACGGTGACGACGTAGACACCCCGTTCCCCATCGACCCCTTCAAGTTCGTGTCGGCCCCCATCGAGCAGCAGGTCGCTGGCCCAAGCGGCCAACATAAGGCGCAGACGGCGGAAGGATTCGTCATCCCCGCCCTCCCTCCGCACCTCGCCAAGTCGAATCCGTTCGCCTCGAGCTCGTCGCCCTCCGCCTCTGCCTCCTCCGCGAGCCCCTTACCAAGCTCGGCCGGCGCGCCGGCGGGCGAGAAGACGAAGCGCATCGCGCAACCGCCCAAGAACCCGTTCCCGGAGGCGCACATGCCGCACCTGCTCGCGCGCATCGACGGGCTGGCGACGAGCAGCCTGCTGGGGATCGTAGAGACAGTGCACCGGGAGCTGCAGGAGCATAAGGTGAAGAAGAATGCAATCGAGGCGAAGGTGCGCGAGGTGGGCGAGAAGTGCAAGGAGAAGAAGGTGTGGGTCGTCAAGGCGGACGTGCGGGTGAGCTCTTGCCTTCTCTTGTTGTATCTGTACGGGGGAGAGGCGCTGATGGACGTGTGTTTCCGTAGGCGCAGTATGGGCTGTCGTGAGTCGTTGTCCGTGCCGAGAGGGGCGTTTCGTCACTTTCGTGTGTTGTCCGAGCGGTGCTGTTGTGGTGTATCATATAGGACTTGTATATATTTCCACATCGCTAGCGTACAGATGTTTCAAGACATGATAGACAAGAAGGGAGGGTATAAGTTATGGGTAATGATACGAAGGACGAACCCGAGACTTCCTCATGGACGCGAGCCTCCAAAGCTCGTTAGCATACTCTTCGTCCGACTTCTTCCGGTCGTCGAATGTGAGGCAGTGGACATCTCCCGACTCTGCGCCTGTGAGCACGAGTCAGGATGAGGTCACACTGCAAAGAATACGCATATAAGCAGGTACTCACGAACAAGCATCCGCCCGCCCTTGTCCATGATCGGCTCGAACCCGAGTCCCTTGTACAGCGCAAGCCTCAGCCTAACGACGTGACAAAGGATCAGTCCCTGCGCGCTCGAACAGGCGCATCTACTCACGTAGTAGCATCGAGGTCGTGGTCTGCCGCAGGATCCGACGTCTCCAGTACGCGAGTCTCTTCCTTTAGTCGCGCGAGCTCCGCCTCCTTGCCTGCTAAAGCGCCCTCGGCGTCGTTGATGGCCTTTGCGAGCGAGAGGCGTGTGGCGTCGAGGTCGTTCATGTGCGCGACGTGCTCTTCCGCAGAGGGGATGGTCGACGGTCGGGTGGCGGATACGCGCGCAGCTTCGAGCACCTTGGCAAGCTCTGTAGCATAGGGGAGCATTCGCACGGCGGTAGAATGGGTGCGACGTAAGGAAACTCACGTTTGAGTTTAGCATGAGCATCGTGCAGTTCCTTCTGCCGCGCGTCCTGCTTCAGAGCCATCTGCTCCTCCGCGGCGGCGATAGTGAGGTAGTCGTCCTCTGGGTCGATGATGGGGACCATCTCCCGGATGGCTTTCCTACACGGACTTCAGCTTCATGGCTGATAGGAGTGCGGCCAACGTACACGGTATCCTTGATGTTGATAGACATGGTCGGACTGTCGGTGTAGAACGTAAAGATTGTGGCCGGCATCCGAGTCGCCGTCGAAGACGTTGTACAACACGTGTGACGGGACACAACGCGATCACATGACGCCGGTCACGCGGAAAGGAGTTGGGGGGACGGAGGATGACACATGCACAAGATCTATGTAGAGGCTGGAGCAGTCGTCGTCGATGACAAACACACAACCTTGCACAAATTGGACATCGGCCGGAGATCTGCCAGTGGTGGCTAGCTCACTGCAGCTCGACAAGTCCCCCTCCCCAGCGCGCCTCATGGATTCCTCATGCCCCCTTTCCCATCATCATGAATTCATCTGTAGTGGTCCATAGCACGTACCGTATGCATCCGCTTCATGTTTACAGGCGAACACGAAATTCTGTTCCACTAGCCGAGATGCAGGGACGCGTATGTGCTATGGACGACTATAGTGGTCAATCATCTTCAATCATCTGTCCATACGTCCTAAACAGCCTCAAACAAATGACGATGGCGCATCAAAAACCGCTGTATTCGCTGTCGATCTTACCGAGGCCCTGCTTGAGTGCGCGTACTGCCACAGGCGCCCAACTTGTTACCCTTCATAATCACTTGGTAAGCACGACCAGCCCTCAACCCTCTTATGGCACTATGGGGCAATATCTGAGTTTGAATTTGACTTATGTGCCGAAGGAAGCCAGATAAGACAAGATCTAATCCCCTAGATCTCACCCTCTGCCCATTGACCGCCACAGCCTTTGGCTCTCCGAGGTTCCGTCAGCAGTTCGACATCGACCACGACTACGACTACTTCCGTAACGCGTCCATCGATCCACTTGCCACCATGGAGGTATGTCGCGCACTCCTCCACGACTCTCGCGCCTGGGTTCACTGTCTTGCAGGGCATTCTCGACTTCTCCGCAGAGTTCGATGTCTCGCTCATGGACAGAGTGGTGATGGCTTTCTATTCAGGAGTTGGCCAGGAGGTGCGTGTTGCATCCATTCACACGCGTTCATTCCGACCTGATATGCGATCTACGTGACAGCAACAACTGGCCCAGCAAGTTTTGACTCAATTTCAAGATAGCCCAGACGCCTGGACCAGGGTACCTGATATCCTCGAACGCTCGTCGTTTCCGCAGACGAAGGTACGATCACATCATCTACAACATTGTCCCGTCAAGCGGTTTGTGCTGAGACGCTTCCAGTACATTGGTCTGCAGATTCTGGAGAAGTTGATCAACACGAGGTGGAAGTCACTTCCCGAGGGTCAGCGGCAAGGTGCGTGGTTCGTATAGTGGCACAACTCCGTGCTTCTCATCTGTTCTTGTCTTAGGCATCCGGAACTTTGTCGTCGGGATCACGGTGAAGGTCGCGTCGGATGAGGCGACAATGCGGAGAGAAAAGACCTACTTGAACAAGTTGAACCTCGCGCTCGTTCAGGTGCGTCCCTCGTCTGTGTATATGGAGCTACACGACATAACCATGGCCTCCCATGATATCAGATCCTCAAGCAGGAGTGGCCGCACAATTGGCCAATGTTCATCCCGGAGCTCGTCGAGTCCTCGAAGACGAATCTCTCGTTATGCGAGAACAACATGGTGATCCTCAAGCTCCTGTCTGAGGAAATCTTCGACTACTCGGCCGAGCAGATGACGCAGGCCAAGGTCAAAAACTTGAAGAACCAGATGTGCGGCGAGTTCTCCGAGATCTTCAAGCTCTGTTCAGAGATTTTGGAGGAGGCCCAGAAGACGTCCCTGATCAGGGCAACCCTGGAGACGCTGCTTAGATTCCTTAACTGGATCCCTCTGGGTTACATCTTCGAGACGACTATCATTGACCTGCTTCTAAACCGGGTGGGTTATAGCGTTGCTCGTCTGCTGTCCGACCACCTGTGAATTGACTTCCCTTGTATAGTTCCTGGAGGCACCCGACTTCCGGAATGTCACCCTCAAGTGTTTGGCGGAGATTGCGGCTCTGAATGTAGGCCCAGAATACGATCCCAAATTCGTCATTCTGTTCGCTATGGTCATGACCTCTGTGAACCGCATGATCCCTCCGAGCACCAACATCGCGCAGGCGTACGCGAATGCTGGCGACGCTGGCCAGGAGCTCGTCCTCAATCTTGCCCTCTTCCTATCCAACTTCTTGTCCACGCATCTGCGTGCGGTCGAGACTGAGCAGAACCGCGATGTTCTTTTGAACGCGCATCTATATATGGTCAAGATCTCGCAGGTGGACGAGCGCGAGATCTTCAAGATTTGCTTGGAATACTGGCTGAAGCTCGTAGCGGAGCTCTATGAGGAGATCCAGAGCCTGCCGATCGGCGACAGCGGGCTGCTCATGGGGCTCAGCTTGGGTAGCACGAACTCGATGCTGAACGGCCAGTCGTTGCGCAAGAACATCTACAGCGACGTGCTTTCCAATCTTCGGCTCGTGGTGATCGAGAAGATGGTCAAGCCCGAGGAGGTGCGTATCTGGCTTCTGACCCCGTTACACTACGTCCTCGCCTGACCCTATTCATCACCCATATTCATTTGGTCCGTACATTAGGTTCTTATTGTCGAGAACGAGGAAGGCGAGATCGTTCGAGAATTCATGAAGGAGAGCGACACTATCGTGCTTTACAAATCAATGCGCGAGCTTCTCGTGTACTTGACCCACCTGGACGTGGCGGACACCGAAAACATCTTGACAGAGAAGCTCCAGAAGCAGGTCGACGGCTCGGAGTGGTCTTGGCAGAACCTAAACACGCTCTGTTGGGCCATCGGTTCTATCTCCGGCGCCATGAGTACGTGCTTCATTTTCGCGCTTAGGCTTGGTGTTTCATGTTAACGAGGCTCACGCAGACGAGGAGACGGAGAAGCGCTTCTTGGTTACAGTCATCAAGGATCTGCTCGGACTCTGTGAGATCAAGCGCGGGAAAGACAACAAGGCCGTCGTCGCGTCCGATATCATGTACATTGTTGGCCAGTATCCCCGGTTCTTGAAGGCGCACTGGAAGTTCTTGAAGACCGTCGTCAACAAGTTGTTCGAGTTCATGCACGAGACGCACGAAGGTAATGGTCGTGACTCGCGGGATTGCGACAGATGCTGAAACGAGGCGCGTGCGACAGGCGTGCAGGACATGGCTTGTGACACGTTCATCAAGATCGCGCAGAAGTGCCGGCGTCACTTTGTGATGCAACAGTCAGGAGAGTCCGAGCCCTTTGTGGACGAAATTCTGCGGTTGCTGCATCGAATCACCGTCGACTTATCGCCGCAGCAGGTACGCGGCCCATTTCTCCGCTGATGTCAAAAACCCTAATTGTCGCGTATCAGGTCCACACATTCTACGAGGCCGTTGGATACATGATCTCCGCTCAGCCGAACAAGCCTCAGCAGGAGAAGCTGATTGCGAAACTCATGGAGCTGCCCAACAATGCGGTACGCGCCGCGCCCGCACCCTGCAGAACAGAGTTTTTACTCATATGACGTGCAGTGGGATTCCCTCATGGCCCAGGCGGCGCAGAACATGGACGTGTTGAGCAGCCCTGACAACATCAAGATCTTGTCCAACGTCCTGAAGACCAACGTTTCAGCGTGCACGTCCATCGGCACGTTCTACCTTCCCCAAATTGGGAGGATATTCTTGGACATGCTTGGTTTGTACAAGGCCGTCAGCGGTATCATCAGCGAGACCGTTGCCCGAGAAGGTACGTCGGCCCTGGGGCTCGTTGGCAGTTCGAGCGGCCAGCTCACACAGATGGGAAGGCCTCATTGCGACCAAGACGCCGAAAGTTCGGCAGCTCCGAACAATCAAAAAGGAAATCCTCAAGTTGATGGAGACGTTCGTCAAGAAATCGGAGGACCTCGAGATCGTGAACAGCAATTTCATGCCGCCCTTGCTAGACGCGATCCTGGGCGACTACAACCGCAACGTGCCCGCGGCACGCGATGCGGAGGTGCTGAACGTCATGGCCACGATTATCGGCCGCCTGGGGGTACGGACTTCTTCGGGGCTTCCCTGCATCGCCTCGGCGTTCCCGCTTGCTAATTTGTCTGATCTAGCCCCTGCTCACACCTCAAGTGCCTGCGATCCTAGACGCCGTCTTCGAGCCGACATTGAACATGATCAACCAGGACTTTGCGGAGTTCCCAGAGCACCGTGTCGGGTTCTTCAAGCTGCTGCGTGCCATTAACTTGCACTGCTTCCCAGGTGCGCACATGGCGGCTCCACGCTCTACGCCCGAACGATCACACGCTAACAATACCTGCAGCCCTGTTGACCCTTCCACCGGCGCAGTTCAAGCTGTTCATGGACAGCATCATCTGGGCTATCAAGCACACGATGCGGGATATAGCCGAGACGGGCCTGAATCGTATGCCTTCCATTGTTACGCTCGGAAGTTATGTCAGACTGACTCAAGCGCGTGGCGGCGATAGTGTGTCTGGAAGTCGTCAACAACTTCGCTGGCGCCGATCCGGCGGTAGCGAACGCGTTCTTCCAGCAGTACTTTTTGAGTATCATGCAAGACATCTTCTACGTTCTGACGGATACGGATCACAAGAGCGGCTTCAAACTCCAATCGCTGCTGCTCGCGCGGATGTTCCAGCTCGTCGAGACGAACCAGATTTCCGTCCCGCTGTTCGATCCCGCAGCAGTGCCTGACCCAACGATCAGCAACGCGGTATTTTTGCGCGAGTACACGGCGAACCTGCTCAAGTCTGCGTTCCCACATGTCCAAAAGTGGGTTATCTTCGCTTCTGCGGCGATTGGATGGTCTTCTGATGTGATGGTCAGTTCGCAAATCCAGACGTTCGTCCTTTCTTTGGGCGAGTTCCACAGCGATATCAACCGGTTCAAGCTTGCGCTTCGCGACTTCCTGGTGCAGCTCAAGGAGTTCTCTGGGGATAACGCGGACCTGTACCTCGAAGAAAAGGAGCTGGAGGCCCAGCGCAAGGCGCAAGCGGAGCGCGAAGCTGCGATGCGCATCCCGGGAATGCTCAAGCCGTCGCAGCTCGAGGACAAGGACGAGGATATTTGACGGACAAACGCGCGCGCATCGTCTCTGCATGACTGACTTATCTGTATGATAGACATTCCCATCTCGGTTCTGTTCACTTTCGAGTCGCGCTTGACTGATTGTTTTTGCTGCCGCTTGCTCCTCTCAATCACCCCTGCCCCCTGAGCGCCATGCATTCCCCCTGCCCCTTACTCCCCAGGTTTTGCCCTGTCCCCCGAACCCCACAGCCTCCCAGATCGTTCGTGTCATTGGGTTGCGGGGCCCATGTCGCGCCCGGCCCCGTCCCGTCCCTCGTCTTGCCAGCAGCCCTCTGTAACCTTGCTATCGCCATCTCGCTGTTCACCGCATCTACAACACATGTAACAATAGCTTATGACCGAGGAATACAAGAGACTAAGTAGTAATGTATCTGTGCTCCGATGGAGGCATGCCGGCCCGGGCCCGGGACCCACAGAGACGGCGCGTCTTGGCTTGGATCGTCGAGGGGGTTCTCGCGCCGGTCTGTAGTGGCCACTGCATGGTTGTGACCAGTGAATTGTATGGCTGTGGCCAGTGAATTGTATCGTTGTCCCATGGTCGCCAAGGGTCGGACAGCCCTTCACTCTTCTCATTGCTTCACAGATACAGCCGCAGCCCGCGGCCAGGACTTCAGCTGCCGACACGGAATGGATGCACGCTATTCCAAATGTGGGCTGAGCGCCCGAACACTGCTGTGTACCATGTTGCCCGATGACGTCCTCTTGACTCTCCGTTGAACATTGAACATTAAACTCAAGGTTACTTCGCAGATGAGTTTCGTAAAGACGCCGTTATTGACATGGTCGAGTGAATGGGACGCATATGACGCATCCTCTGCTGGGAGGAGCTCGGAGGCGTCAGCGCTTGCTCGATGTTTCGAGGTTATACATAGCATAGTCTTGCGATACAGAGTGGCGCGCCGAACGGTCCTCGAGGCAGCTGAGATATGCCTCGTTCTATGGAAGACCAGGAGGGTTCCTTCAGAAACTGATGAAACATACGCGGGATTGGCTTCTCTACCACTGGAATTGTCGCCGACATGAATGAGACGCTGAGAATCGGAGCAGGTAAACGTGCGTTGCGCTGTCATTGCTGGGAGATCGTTTGTGCGTCCTATGTGAGCGGGAGCGTCAATGACATGAACGCCTTCCCTGGTGGGCGAACCCAGCATTCTTCGATGTCCACCAGCCCCCACTGCATCCGAATCGAAGGCCTCACTGAGTGTTGCCTGACAAGCCGAGACTACGCGCTCGGGTAAGGCGATCGCGGGAGAAAATGAGAGAAGGAGTGATTTCGAAATGTGCACTCTTCTGACAGTGTTTCCCCTGGCGACGAACCTAATTGAAGTAACGACACTCAATACAGCCATCTCATTGCTTGTGGAAATGGTGAGGACACTGAGGCGGCGTTGTCGGTCAGTTGTACTTGAAGCAGGAGTTAGCATCGTCCGGGTGAACAATCCGCCGCCTATCCCAGGTTGTGGGATCGGCTAGAGACTTTGAATCTCAGCGACGGAGTAAATCTTGCAATGCGAAAAGAGTGTGCTGATCGCTATCGGGCATAGCCGACGAGATACCATCTGCGAGCAGCCAGGGCGTCTTCACCATCTAGCTCCGCTTGCCATTACGTCCACCTTCGCGGGCGGCCACACCGTTCGATCCTGCCGTTGCACGTCCTTCATATTCTACTTAACGCTTCGAGATGTTCAAAAAGTGCGCAGGCACGATGCACATGTGCCGCGGCCTCGTGGATTCGCTGACAATGTGACTGGATGAATCTCCGCAGGTTTCAGCCCTCAGCCGACGTCTCGGGACAAGTCAGCGTGAAGACCTCAGTCCAGCGGTCTATCAGGTCTAACATTCTCGCGCAATGGAAAATCAACCCGGAGACCTTCGACCAGATATGGCCCAAGAAGGAGTCCCTCACGCTCGTCAAGTGGTCAGTCCTCTTCCACCGATCGCTCTCCTAGATCGCTGGAAGGCAATGGTCGATGTCCGACGATTCTATTTCCTTACGCGTCTGCCTTTGCCGCACATAGCAGAGACCATATCTCTATCTACACACTCCACGGCGAGCCGCTCTTCTTCCAACATTTCGACGGTCCATTCTTCCCCACGTTGAGGCTGCTGCACAAATGTACGTGTTCGCTCTTGCTAAGTCTCTCATGGGTCGAGATGGCGTCATACCTTCCTCTGGAAACTTCACGCTGACCTATTGTCCTATCCGCTTGTAGACCCTTTCATTCTGCCCGCTGTGAAGGTCGACCGCGGGGCCATTCGCTTCCTGCTCGCAGGCGCCCATATGATGTGCCCAGGGTTCACGTCAGCGGGAGGCTACCTTCCACCAGCAGACCAAGCGCTACCTGCCAACACGCCTGTCGCTATCCATGCCGAAGGCAAGGAGCACGCGGCCGGCATCGGCATCACCAAGCTAGGCACGGAGGAAATCAAGAGCGTCAACAAGGGTGTCGGGGTGGAAACGGTAACGTATCTTGGAGATGATTTGTGGAAGCTGCAACAGCTGTAGTTTGATCGTGCGTTATAGGCTCCGTGCGCGCTGTTGACGAAGTGTATGTGCTGTATCACTAGTCGTGTGTCAATGCTCTGCCCCATCCTCCGGATTCTACTCGTCCGTACGTTCCGCATCTGGTGACCGATCGTCATATTGTCCTTGTTTTCAAGAGCCTTGAGTTGGCTTAGACCTCACAGGCCCAGTTGCATAGACACTACCAAAGCCTGACGCGATATCAATGGAATCTCACAGTACACGAGAAGTACAATACACGCGGAACCGATCAAAGCTTGTACGCACGTAGTTGTGGATGATAACGGCAGGCCGGTCCTGCGGATCGTGGCACGAAGCCTTGCGGACCGCGTCGATCGACAGTCGACAGCAGCGCGCTCGGGTCCTTTCTATCCCTCGTTGCCTGCTTCGCGACTTGACATATCGGTAGAATTTCTTTCTACCGGTCTTGCTCGCTGCTTCCGACCGCATTGATGTGCGTCAGCGCCGAATGGTATGGGCGTTACCTCGATCTCAGAAGGGCGAGCATTGAACCTTATTCACAGGCTGGGTTCTGGCTCGTCAAAGCAGAGATGTAAGGGAAGGTGGGACCGGCACTACACGATGATATCACTAGTTGCGTGCACCGATCCGGGCGAAGTCCACAAGCTTGCAGTGTCGCCGCCCCCATCACTGTTGACCCAGTGCGCACCGTTGGACCAGCTGCCCGATCACACAAGGCCGACATTCTGACTGTTATCTCAACAGGGAAGTTGACTACTCCCAGCTCATCCTGGGCGTATCGGGTCTCCTGGTCCCTGTCCGAATCCGCGTGTCACTGAGGATGTCAGATGGCAGGTCTACGAGATCGTGGGTCAGTATTCACGTTGCGCAGGTCCAGCCCCTTCCCGTGATGTCGATTGCATCAGGCAAGCGTCAAGGTGCGTTTGAGACGCTCCGACTGGATGTCATTGAATATATAGCTCATCCTGCCTCGTCCCCTTGCAGCCTATCCACGTCCTTCCTGACCTTGGCTGGTTGTCCGTGGAACGCTCCGGCACCGTGTCGTGGTCCATCACTTCTCCAGCACTCCGCGATGTCTTCCGAACAATCCAAGCCGCAACCCTGCAATAGCTGCCGTTGGCGCAAAGGTACGCGTCTTTTCCCCACCCCACGGTGTCTAACGCGCCTTTCGCGCTGAGAGTCGCACAACTTCATACCCAGTCAAGTGCCTGCAGAAAGAGGGCGCGGAGCGTTGTCATGAGTGTCACAAGCGAGGCGAGGCCTGCGAGCGCGGCAGCAGATCCGCAGTGGCTAACAATTCGCCTTGCGAGGAATGGTGAGCGTCCGCCGGTCCTTCGCGTGGTCGCCAGGTGCAACCGTTGCTGACACGGTGTCGGACGCGGTACCAGCAAACGCGCTCATGTGGCATGCGACATGCCAAGGTCAGGTCCGTGTGCCCGTTGCGGGTACTTGGGCCAGACGTGTACCCGTGCGGTGGCTGGTTGTGGTGAGTGTCGACCGTGTTCCATTGTCCGTTAGTGTCACTGACGACAGTGGCGCCCCATCCCAGGCAGTCCGGCTGCCAATCCGACGGGCGGGGCAGCACCTTCTATCTCGTCCGATGATCCGCTGTCGTCGAGGAAGCCCTTCTTCGACGTCGTGCTGAACCAAGGCTGACGCCCGCAGCGCACAATCACCCACGCCGTTACGTGTTTTCGGGGGGTCTGACCTGGAGGCGATAGTCCGGGACTCCGAGAAGAATAGCTCCACAAAGGCTGTTTGATATTGCCGCGCACCCTATCCATTCAGGACTACAGTACATTAATTACGAGCCTTCTCTGTTGTCACCCAATTAATCTACACGAGGTGTTCGAACATTGCCTGACAGAAGAGTGCAGTACGGCAGCGTACGTATCAAATGTGTGATTAGCACGATAGGGCCGTGCCTTCATTTGCGCCCGCGGGTTTGCTTCTCCATCTATTAGGGCGTATGAGAGAAGACCATCGCGAAGTTGCAAAGTGGACTTTCTTGACGCTCCGTGGTGAGCGTCCAATAGGATGCACGAAAGCGGCTTCCGTCCCTGAGGCTCTCCGATATGTCCGCAGCCCACGGCCGAGGGCTCGTCTGGGCGGAGTTTCGTTGGTACATAGCATGAGAGCGGGGTCACTGCTCTGCCGGCGGTACACGGGAACCAGAGGTGCGGGTCAGGTCCCGGACCACTCGTTCTGTGGGCGCTGGCGGGCGGCGACTGCAAGCAAGTGGCGCCCAATCCACACCCGCCGCGTGCCTAGTTGGCTTCCGCCTATGCAACACCCTTCCGTGAAGCTATCGCATTGCTGTCTTTGGTCTCAACTCGAGGAGACGTTCCCAGCGACCAGCATCGCGTAAGCTACAGAGGCTTCAACTCCGCCTTTGACAACAGCACGGCTGCACCGTTTCTTCGTCCAGTTCCGGGGCAGGGGACGGGCTGTCGGGACCAACGCGATCTCTGGTTGTCCTGCTCCCTTGATGGCCCTAGCTAGCTTCATCGCGCAAAGGGAGTAACGTTCGGCGCACGTGGTCCGGGTATAGTGCGTCTCGTTGCTGTCATCGTCGCTTCCGATCTTCTATCGCTAAGGCTTCTCACGCAGCCTGAAGCCGGGGTACGTGCCAACGTGGAGACTCAAGGTCTGTCTTACGTTTCGCAAGCCACTCTTATTCGTGCACGCAGCCTCACGAGCTTCTGCGGCGCGCCATCGTGCGTACTCTGAAACATTGAAATTTACCGCAACCTGTCTTCTCGCATCGCCCGCGCAGGGCCCTTGCTGCCTCGCGACGCGGGGTATTGCTTGGAATAGCAACAGCCACTGCTTCATCTGGAGAGGAGAGGGGGAACGGAGCGTCTGGGATTGCCGCTGCACCATGTATGTCAAGCTAGTCCGCTGCTGACGTCTTTGACTGATCTTCTGCCAATAGCCTCGGAACAATGCAAAAACGACGGCAGGTACAGGCGCTCATCGTGGGCTATCGGAGGACAATGGACTTGAGCACCACGCAATTGTTGACCTTACATAGGTTCACCGTTCCGACACGCTAGACATTCCTCTTTCAGATACACCGCGTCGTCGAACGCTTCGAAACCCTTACCTGCGGGAGAAGTGTCGAGTGCGCAGCAAACTCATTGAACTCTCTCGGTTCACCGTCGGGTACTGCTATTGCTTGTACGCCGCACAGACGTAATTGCTTATGCACACTTGCTATGGTAGCCGGTATGTCCTCATAACCGCCTTTGGTTATCCTTGTCGTTCCAAACTGACGGACCGCGCCATGCGCACGGCCTAGAACAGTTGGCTGTGTCGAGCCGAGCCGTCGATGCAGACCACGCTCGGGGTCAAGGGCGAACATGTCGCGTGTGAGACGGGCGCGCCGCAAGGCATGAATGCGGCGCCGTAGCTTTCCGCAATGCGACTAGTGCCGCGCGGCGGAAATCGCCGCCGTCCTCTTCTCTCCTGACCCCCGAATGTTGCTGAGCTGCTAGCCATTCCTACTTTAGTCACGGACTCAATCGGCGGACGTAGGGGATGCGCTTTCACTGAGTCTCTCCTAATTAATTGGTCTGTGGTGAAAACAGGCATGTCCTGCAGAATTTCGCATGCGGTATCCGGACGCGAAGCTGCATGAACACGGCGGAGGATGCTGACGGAGCCCGTAGACGCGGGCATGCCTAGGACAGCTGCACAGGGTTCCCACCTTTATCATGTATTTTCCCACCCACAGAGGCGTCATCTCACTGACCCTCGTCCTGGGAATTTGGGAATTTGGAAAGGATGGGGTTCGACGCAGGTTCTGCCGTGATGCAACGTTTTTCGACCGTCCCGCTGCTTTCCCACTTTTGCGACTAGCTATATAGGCATGGCTCCGTGTCCCGCTTTCGTCATGCTCTCGCCGTCCCTTCTCTCCCTCCTGTCTTGGTCGAGATGACCAGGTCCCCCGAGCCGCCGAAGAAGATTGCCTGTACCAACTGCAGCCGCAAGAAGAGTGAGCCCGCCTTCGCCACATGGCCCTATGCTTTCACCCTGAGCATACCCTTCTCTGTTTGCGTCGGTGTCTAGCTCGATGCGAGAACTCCGCTGACGGTCGGCCCTGCGCGACATGCACGCAAAAACGGCTCGACTGCAGATACCCAGACCCAGATGCCCCGGGCTCGGGTGGTGCGCAGCGCAGGACCTCATGCGACTCTTGGTACGTTCCTCCTCGACGACTCCGCTGCTTCCTATGCCGATTCCAGCCCACTCTACGCAACCCCTCGTTGGCAGTCACAAGGAGAAGGTGCGCTGCCGGCGCGCCAAGGACGGCGAGGACGACACGAGGTGCATGAACTGTCGCGAGAAGAACATCCAATGTGTCTTCCCCAATGCTGGAGAGCACGGTCAGTGAGGACCTGTTGACCTGTCGACTAGATCCTGATGCCCCCTCTGCACTCGTTGGCCGTCTCCCCGGCACATAGAGGAGCTTCCTGTTGCAGACTCCGAGCAACCCGTAGCGGGGCCGTCTCACAGCCAGGCTGCTTCATCCGTCCATCGTGGTCAGTGTTCATTGCCCGTGTTCCTTCTCTCGTCGACGACTCTGAGCTGCCCCGCACCCTCCTTCAGCATCTGCCGAGTTGACCGGCGACTCACAGCGCCCAGCGCTGACGGTGGACCCGACTGCCGCAGCCGGTGCCAGTACTTCCGCACCGGTGACGCCAAACACGCGTCCTAACAGCCCCGGCCGCAACAATTGGAGGGAGGTGTGTTTGGCACCGTCTCCCGAACGTGAGGACTTCGAGGAGAGTTTCGCGGAGGCGTACTTGAACCAGTAAACCATATTGCTTCCAATATTTGTCTTCTAGTCTTCACCATGCATAATGACTCCCTAATGTTCGTTGTCCCTCTAAACCCCCACTCCTCTTTGGACATTTGTAGCCTACTATAGTACCTTTGTTTGCTCCTGTATCCCTGTCGATCGTCCGTTGAGCAGAACCTTCGGGGAATCCCCAAATTCAACCTCCGAAAGGAGGGCTGCCAGGGTTCCCCATAGCACAGCAGGCTGCTGACCAAGATTGAACCATGTCCCTTTCGGAGCGGCGTACTGATGTCGAGTCGCCGAAGTATTATTTCATGGCCGCTCGCTCTCAAGTTGCCTTGATCGATGGTGGGCGCGATTGATATCGCTTCTACAATTGCTCGTACCTCCGCCGCGGTGTCATCGCAGAAACCTCCGCGACGCACCAACTGCTGATATATGGACAATCGATTGTTGGGGGATGTGGTGTCATAGTCCATTCGCACGAATCCTGGTTCGTGTGCAGATCGATATCTCCGGTTCCACCTTGAATGCCCTATCAGGATGGGGAAGATCCCCACACCACCAAGCATTTCCCTGACATGAGTTACACTTAGTAGTCGCCGGAGAAGAGTGGCGGAAGGAACAGAAAGGTTCAATTTAGCAATACGGCGACTGCTGCTTGCTATGCGGGGCGCGCTCGGAGGAAGCGCGGGCGACCTCTCAAGATCTCAAGCCCGACGACGCGGGTAGTAGACGGGGCAGAGGGTATAGTTGTTCGTTGCCAACCAATGCGCCGACACCAAGGCGAAACTCTGAGCCGATCTCATGATACAGAGTTTCGCGTCGCTACATAGACCACCGCTGGTACCAGGAAGCCAGTGTGAACGAGCACGCTGGCTCCCAGAAGAGGTCATCACGATGGGGTTCTAAGATACCAGTCATACGAGGGATAGCGCTACGATAGATGTCACCCAGCACACAACTCTTGAGCCCGCGGTCCTGAGCGTACGGGACAGCGGACGGTACCAGAGATTGAAGCCTCCCTCGTTCCTGCGAATTCAACCGTCCCTCAAACGGGGGATACCCCCGGTTTGTCATCCTGCCTGCTCTGTAGCGCCAGAACCTCCTCCAAACGGGGGATGTCCCTCGGATTAGGGATCCGTCCTATCCGTATACATTCAACGTACCGTACTGCACGCTGACACGCAACCGTCCTGGACTCCGGCGTTAGCAAATGGCCTGTATAAGGTCAGCACAAGATTCATCTCCGTGGTCCCAAGAAGCCTGAGATCTTACCCCAAATCTGAGAAGCGCGAAATGCGAGCAGGCGGCTGACGTACTATGGCCAATGTGGCATATTTCCGTGGGCCTCTGGCACTGGGCTGCAGGAATCATGTCAGTCGGGCTGCAGCGCCGCCCCATGCGTCAGCGGTTTAGTTGGCTTCTAAAGATAGCCTACAGTTCGTTCTCCAATCCAAGCGCGGCGGCAAGCGCATCCAGTGACCTGGTGAATTCGATTCAAGCGAGCGTCGGTGTAGGTGGGAATAACGGCTGCCTATATCGGAACGATATGGTTTAGCGCGCATCCCAATCAAACTTAAGGGTATATGGGAGATGCGCTCTGAATTGATTCAAGACGAATACGTGTATAGTATGTCGCGCCGTCGCAAGCCGAGGTGCTCCGTGTTGCAGCAGCGGATGGCCGAGCGGAAAGAAGTTCTGCGAACGAGACGACTCGGCCAAGCCTCCTGCTCCTTGCCGACCGACGGCGTTTAAGCCACGCTAGCTACCATCTAAGCCGCAGGGAGCGATCAAACGTTGGACTCTGCCTCGACGCCGTCTCACCCTCTTCTCTACTGTGCTTAGCCGAGTCCCAATACTGTCGTCGATTTCCCGCCGAAGGCGTACCCTTTACGATGAAACAACATTTTGCGCCCGCACAGACTGCACGCCCGAAGTCATCGTGAATGATATCCTGTAGGACTGGCAAACCTCCACTGAATGGAACATTGGCTGTACGAGTCTATACGCCAGTATCCACGAAAAACGGCCTCTGGAGACACACCCGTGAAGGTTCATGGTTGCTGGCACGACATGTATGCCAAGTGGTACGTCACAATAATCAGAACAACCGGACCCAAGCCCAAGACTTGATCAGATGTCTTGCGTCCTCCCATTGAGTTGAATCGCCAACGCCCTGGCTCGCAGCCCACAATGGACACGTCCATCCGTTTCCCGCAGCAAGGACAATTTGTCGTCCCACATTCCGATCTGCTGTCTTCTTAACGATCCCGCGTGTGCTTCGTATTTGCCTCCCACGTACGTCTCTGCATTTACCGACATCAGCGCCTGAGTCGTAATTGACAGCGAGCGGCTTACGCGTTTTGCTTTTATTCTGTCCCAGCCCCTTGGGCTCCTGCCCGACGGAACCCAATGTCCTCTGCCCAGATACTTGGCTGACGACATAAGATCCGGTCACTAACTTCTTACAAGCAACATGTTTCCTGCCGGGCTACCTTTACTCCTCCCGAGGGCAAAGAAGCCGAGCTCCCGGCATGCGCATGCCCGAGAGCTGGACATAGAATATATGCGTAAGTTGCGCAAGGGTGTCCGAGATGACGTACCCGAGAGAAGATTGGGGGAGAAGCTCGCTGCGGGCAGAAGTTGATTAATCACCAGCTGGTAGAATCTCCGTCGGGTCGCGCTCAGTCTGGTACGTTGTAATTTCGTTCTGTTGCGACTACCGAGCCATAAAGGTCGCCATGTAACTAGGACAGGCAATAGCAATAGGTCCGCGTTGTGCCGATCCAATGGTCATCAAGGCGCTCCTGCGTATAGTATGTTTCCCGGAGTACATGAGGACCGCGAGACCAACGACGGTGGCGCGTGCCAGGTCCTTGGGAATGCAGTGAAGCTTCCATGCAACCGCTCGATCATGCGGAAGCGAGCGTGTAGGATGACGCACGGCAAGTTGCGGGACGACTTTCCCCAGTGGATCCCTGCTTTGGCTACTGCCGGTGGCGCCGATCTACGAGTCGTCGTCAACGTCGCCTCGAACTGTTCCCGGTGAGGTGCCAGGGAACAGCTCGAGGCGACATCGCTGAGTGCATGTACGGGGCAGTCCTAATGCGGTGGTTCACGCCGGTTTTCCGTCTCGTGGCCGCAACGGCGAAGGCGGGCCACTGTGAGATGATGCCATTGGGGGATGATTAAACTCTATCCCTTTCAGCCGTCTGTTCCGCTGTCTAGCAGATAGGACGAACCTCCAAATCCACGCGCAGTGATGAATGGGATGAGCTTCCGGAGCGCTCAAGGTGACCACGCTTCTCTTCGTTCGGATGTCCAGCGGAAACCCGATAAGCTATGAGATCAGGATTACTGCCCTTCAGGTGGGACCTTCCAGTCAGTGACCCGCTTTCAGGTCCAGCGCTTTCGTTTGCTGGATTCGATACTAACACTGATTTTGTCAGGAGCCTAGCTGGACTATCCACCTTAATGTCTTAATGCACTCTCATCGCGCACCAGTCCGGCGACAAAGAGTCGCGCGCAGACTCTGTACCATTTCGTCGATGTGGGAGGTACATATTTAAACCTGTCTCAGCTATGGTCCCTGCACTTCGTCGCCTCCCTCCTCTCCTCTCGACCAAGGCCTAACGCGCTTACTATCACTACCCTTTCTACCATCTGAACGTCATGTCTGGAAGTGGACGCAAGTTACGCGCGTGTAGGAGCTGCTCACAGCGCAAAGGTACGTCGTCGCTTTGACCCTCGTCATTGAGCCATTTCGCTCATGCTGCCTCAACTTCGTGGATCCGTAGTGAAGTGCTTGCCGTCAGAGGGGGACCCGCGTTGCCGGGAATGCGTGAAACGCAGCAAACACTGCGAACGCCCCGAAATCACTGCGAACCATAATCCCTGTGATAACTGGTAAGCGCTCAACTTCTGCAGACAGACCATCGGCGCTGCGGCATGTACTAACAGCAAGGTCCATGCAGCAAGCGTTCTCACGTAGCCTGCGAGTGGTCTGGGGCTGGACCTTGTACGTTTTGCTCAAGCGCACGTAGCGCAGCCTCGTGCTCGCTCGCCTCCGAGAACTCGGGGGGTTCTGGTGCGTATGCGATAACCGGCCGGCTTGTAACTCGCGGGTTTAACAGATCACGCCCACGACGATGCCAGATCGGACGCCCTCATTCGCCCTCGATCCGATGCGACCGTCATCGTCCCCGCAGACGCATTACTTCGACATCGTTCTAAACAAGCATTAAGTGCTCGGGCGGTCGCTGCGCGTCATCCAGGATGTACGTAACAGCTTCACTTGGTCCAATCGAGTCGCAGACTACGAAAAGGACGGAGAGACATGGTGAACACGTTGGGGGCGCTGGCGACATAGCATAAGATGTTTTGTGTAGTTGAAGTTGGTATTGGTGCCTTTGTTGGCACTTGTTCCCTATAGCTATAGCTAGCGTTGTCTCAAGGTGATTTTCCAACGTATCATTATGCTCCACACAGCGCGGCCAACAGGAGGCTTCATTCCGCTAGCTGGGTACATCAAGAAGACGCCGGCCATGCAGCGTAGCCGGATACTCTGAAATGGGTGAAGGAGACAGACAGAACGGGGCCCGCTAAGCCTCGATCACACTGGCAACCGAGATGAAAGACGGGCTTCATGTTGAGAGAGGAGCGGCGTCGTTGGCTGAGCGCAACGAGGGCGACGCGAGCTCGAGCTATTGTGGGAGAATAGCCACTGTGCTCTTGGGAGAATCGCAGTAAGATTGAGTGTGCGACAAAGATCTGTGGGTACCACGTGGGTCAGATCCGTCGATCGATGTGGCGACCAACCAACTTCGGCGCCCACCCACGCCCCTGCGCTCCGCGCTGTCCCCCGACGTCCAGTCCACAAACCTGATACTTCTCGGCTCGGGCCTCCTCGTTTATCCTTGTCATCTGCGTATGCGACGGGACGTCTACGCGTAAGTAGGGCGGCAGCTACCATGAAACCTCGATTCGAGGCCTGAAGGCATCAAGGACGTGCCTCACGACTAGGCAAGCGTCGCGGGTTCGCCTCAACGCGTTCCCGATACACGTGCTCGGGAATAGTGCGTTCGGTTGCCACTTCCCTGTTTGTGGGGAAGACAATGAACACGCGGTAGGGCGTGGCAACCGGCGCTGAACGAACCCGACACTTTTGAAGCGGCCCGTCGGACTTGAACGCAGTACTCTCAGGACGACCAGATAGATGTTCATCACATTGTACGCCCCAGGACACTCATGAATTGCTCCCAACAGACTTCTCAAGACCCTGCAGACGTTCGCGAAGACGGAGACCCGTAAAGAAGGAGAAGATCGTGCCTCAGAAAGGCAGCGTCATCTATAAACTGCGGTATTCAGGGATGAGGAACGCCAAAATCGTGCCGCTGCTCCCCTAAGGGCCGCAGAGGTGCGTCCAAATTAGAAAGGGACTAGCTCGTTGGAGTCCCTCTCGAAGCCTGAGTCGACTCCATGATGGAATTCTCAACACGTCGGACATCTCGTGCTCGAGACGCCGATGAGACGAGACGTACATACCATACAGAGGCTTTCTGCGCCCCGGACCAAGCAGATCTGGCCACAATGGCATCTTTTATTGCCCATTTGTCGCATAGCCTCCGAACCCTTTTGTCGCCTGGCGTTCGGCATCGGTCTATTGCATTTCGGGCATACAGACACAAATTGCCAAAGGTGAAATCTTCCGTCGGGCCATTCTCGAGAACTCACCGAAACAAACGGACGATGGCTGTATAATCGCCGTCCTGGAATGCATGTTTGCTATTTTGGGCTTCTTGATGGCATTTCCCGTAGCCGACGGCGAGGCGCCAAGTGGGGTTCTCTCGTCCTGTTCATAGCTTTCAGGCTATACACCTTGTACGCTATTGTAGGCAGTGGAGTTGGCTTTGGCAGCTGGAAAATATGCGCGATTCCAGCCGACACTGGCATACTTGGTATAAGATATCAATTGCCCGCTGTACTGGACCCGATGCTGCGGATAGCGCCCTCATCCTTTACTTTCCTGAATCTCTCATTACGCACGCACCTCCGTCTTCCCTCTTCGGACCTAACATGACTCGCCCAGCGGACCCTGTGCATTTTCCCTTAGCATTCATAGGCAGAAGACCCGATTCTCCGCCGGCGCGCTGGCCAGGGTCCCAGCCTCATCTCTGCACTGACGACACATTCGGTTCGAGAACGCGCGGCCTCGTCAATGAGGGACTCCGGCCTATAGGGACGCGAGCTGATTTTGTAGGTGTTCCCACATATGCTTGATCATTGGCTCCCGGAAGGCCCAAGCATGACGGCGTCCTTGGGAAAATACGAGTGCCTAGTGGGGGGCGGTCCTAGGGACGAAGTGGCGGATCTTTAACGTTTGTTTCCCCCTTGCCTCAGATATCCACTGACTATTTATTCCAAGCGGACACCCAGGTTCCTCTCGCTCCTCCCCTCGCCTTCCCCATGAAGATGAAGAACATCTTCAAGAAGAAGCGGACGCGGTCCCCCCATCCTGCGTGCACCCCCTGCTCTGACAAGAAAGGTGCGTCGCCCAACTATCTATCGTCTCTTGTTGCCATTGACTCAACGCTTGCCCACGTGTCGGTGCCTCTGCACCTTGAAGTCAAGTGCAATCCCATCAACGGCGTCGGACTGCCTTGCCAGGCATGCATCCAGCGCAACGGGATGTGCGAGTGGCCACTGGGGTCAAGTTCTACCAGGCATTGCGGCCCGGATGGGCACAAGCGTGGCGTTCGTTCCTGCCAGAACTGGTGGGCAACACAGTCCCTCACCATAAAACCAGCATACTGACGTCTCGTTATGGAGCCGCGCGAGTAAAATGCGCTGTGAGCCTGCGGGCCATCCCAGTGGTGCTTGCCGTAGATGTAGGCGGGCCAACCTCGACTGCTCGTTCGCCGGATGTTACTTAGGTCAGTGCTCCGTTCACGCACCCATTCGTTGGCCAATGACTCTTCTACATCCACACCCAACCCCTCCTCTAATCTACGCCGCCCCCATATGCTCCAGCAGGAGAGGCCTCACCCTCGAACGATGGGCAGTCTGTCGCCGGGCCGTCTAACCAACGCATGGCCAACGATCAGGGTGAGCCTGTTACGCAACAAGTCAAGCTACGCGCCCATCCTCAATCGACCTTGTTCGTTGCGTCCTAGGCACATACTCCCCTGGCATCCAGCACCCCGTTGCAGGGGGTTCTCAGTCTTCATGGTTGACGGTGGATACCGGCGTCGCCAATGTCGGCGGGAGCGTGAGTTCTGCCGAAGCGACGCCCACGTCTGGCCCTAGCAGCCCCAGCTCGTATTGGCTTACCGTCATGGGGGCTGAGGACTCCGACTCCTAGTCAACCGCGACGCAGCCTAACGCTATCGGCGACTGCTTGCTATGCCGGTTCTGTATCGTATCTGCCTTGTCCCGTCTTCTTGATGAAAAGCCTAACTTAGATACCTCGCTACTACTAAGTCCCACTCTGCACCAACCCCCGCTCTTATTAGCATGACTGTAACCTCTATTGTCCTATCTCGATCTGTTTGTCCAAGATGTGCCCTAGCACGCTGTAGCTCTTGCCTTATACTGATGTGGATGCCCCATGCGCGCAGATATGAACCCAGCGACGATCGTTCCGTCGATCTACCTGGGGGGAACAATAGGTCATCCCGAAGCGTGCATGAGCCCTCAAGCTGATCCCTTGCCTGACGCCTTTACATGGCTGACAAATCTTGAGCTCGTTGTTATTGGCACCGCTTTACACGATGGAGCCAGAGCAGTACTAGGCGAATCTGATAAGTCCTAGACTGTGGAGGCCCAATCGCGCGCCGGCGCCTTGAGATTGTGATGCGCTGTGCGGCCTTGGCCATCGCGTCGCGCAAACCCAAGGCACGGCAGGGAACCGGATGTATTCAACCCTGGAAAATGCAGAAGAAAGGGGACGCAATAGTTTACCTTCCTCGCCACTACAGTCATACACGGGTCCTCGGGACAGTCAAGTGTTGTCGCTCATCCCAAACCATTCCCTACCTGTGCAGCCCATATCGGACAATGCCATTATGTATGGTACACAACAAGGCACTGCACGCCTAAGTTTCATGGTAATCCAACTATGTGTGAGAGGGATCGGGGACAATCATCCCAAATTTCTCTCATCGCACGTCCCTCGGTCCTCGGGACAGCGCTTAATTCCCTCGTATGGAACGAAATTGCTGTTGCCGAGGATAGCCGAACCCGGATATGGTATGTGGACATCTAAACGCCAAATTGCTTGAGCGCAAGAACTACCCTTCCACACTGTGTCGATGACTATCAGGGCTCAGTGTCAAAATCTCACCATATAAAGTTGCTGAGAGAAGGAGATATATGTCGCCTTGTTGTACACCAGAAGTGGGGCACGCCCATGGGCACGGTGAGTATAGATTTGGGCGGGAACCAGTCCCAGATTTGGTTTTCGTGTAAATCTTGTACAGAAACTGGGCTGGTGACTTCACTTCTGGGTCGCCTCTGATGAAATTTGAGGAGAGGTGAGCTGTAAGAAGTCTATATAGATATATACAAAAACCTGAGGCAGTAGGATAGAGGGAGGGTCAGAAACCGCGCAGTGTCCCGAGGACCCGTGTATGACTGTATCGGACAAGTTTTCGGGCTGATAAGTGGTACACTACCTCACCAGTTTCCCACGGGTATTGACATGGTGAAATCAATGCCCATTCTCAGAGCTTTTCGACCGTCGAAAAGTGGTCGTAGCATTTACCATCATGGCAACTTGCGACTCATGTCGTGCAACGCCAACGCCTTTTGGCCATCCGAGCAAAACGACTACTTGCCTTCTAGGGCATTTCCCCCGGTGATATATGGCCTGAGAGATCCAATGATGTATAGAATAGGCAGAAAGTCGCCATAATGGTAAACAGCACGACCACTTCTCGATGGTCGGAAAGCGTTTGCAACAGGCATTGTTTTCGCCACGCCAGAAGTCATGGGAAATTCTTCCGGTAGTAATCGCTGTAACGGCGCAAAAAGTTGCCCAATAATGGCGAGGAGGGGGAACTATTGCGTCCCCTTCTCACCGCCTTTTCGAGGATCGAAAACAACTGGTTCCCTGCTCCATTCTCGCGGTCGGCTCCCGCGCGCTAAACACCGCAGCGAGGTACAAACATTCGCACGAACTGGGCATGTATGAGCCTGATCGCGCGGCGTAGCGCATGATTGACTGTGCGCACACGGCGCACACAAGATCTCGGCTGCCCAGCAGAAGACCGCGGTGGTTGGGTGGGTGCCTGGCGTTCAGCGTCGCCCGATGGCTGCTGCTGGCAATGCGCAATCCTCGTGAGATGCAGATTGTGGCACAACACGTAAGGCGGGAGGGGGCGCGAGCAGAAACACTGCGGGTAGCGCCAGGGCGCGAGAGAAGGAAGAACGAAAATTTTGTCACGAGTGACGTGGGGCGGGTCTTGGTAGCGCACAGAAGAAGTCTGTCCGACAACGGACCGCGAAGCTCGCGAGCGCGCCGTCGACGTGTAGACGCACAATGCCCTCGAATGCGTAGTTGGCTTGTCGTTCAGAGACCGCGAGCAAATGTGAGTCTCGGCGAGGCCATCAGGACCGGGAGATAGTGAGGTGTGTCGACCTCCAGCTGCTGTACCAGGCTCGGGTCGTCTGTGAGAAGGCTGGTCAGCTGGCAATAATCTTCCTACAGAACTGCCAGTCATCCCGGGCAGCTCTGTTCGCCGATGGCAACGTCTACAACGCGTAGGTTTGACACAGTCCGAGTCGGCAGTCGCCTGACGAAGTGTCTGCAGACGTCTCGGCGACCATAAATAACGAACGCCTGACGACGTGACCTACAAATATTGTATGCGAAGTGATGCATGTATGCATGCTTCGCAATTCATACGGCTATATGCGCAGATCCACCTTTGGCGCTAGCTGAATGGAGTGGTGGTGTTCATTCAAAGGTCTTTGGAGACTATGAACGTGCCCTGAAGGATGCTAATCACTTCAATCTCTGCGCTGTTACCTCGAAGATGAGGATAGCTAGACTAGACAAAGCTATGAGTATCTGCTTGGTCGAGAATCTAGGTCATAGGATACGCACGAGCCTTCGTGCCAGTGTCGACACAAGTGGTCCTCTTGGTGTCCGACGTGTGGGAATGGTACAAGAGAGTCCCTACCAGCTGTTTTCACGTTGAAATGCGGCTTCAGCTACGTCAGAGATGGGCACAATGATATGTGTCTTGGAGAAAGCAACCGTTATGTCGCTGTAGATGAGCGCTGCGGACAGAGGTGAAGCGGAGTGTCCGGCCCGAAGCAGTATTTAGCGCCCGTGAATCGGCGAGATCTGCGTATCGCTGATCGAGTTCAAGTTCTGTGCAGACTTCATGGTTTGTCAAACGCACGCGTGGTAGGTAGACACTGGTGGCTTGCTGATCCTCATAAAACGGCCATAGTATAGGTGCGCACTAGGCATTACGTGTCGTCGCGCCTTTGGGTGATCCCGACTGACGGACATAGCAGCCACTGTAATGTCTCGAGGGGGAGGCGAGCCGCAATTTAGCTACGAGGATCACTTCACACCCGCGCGCACGCGGAAGAAACGCAAGAACAGGCAGCCAGCAGATCTTCCCGACCCCACAGTCCTCCTAGAAAAGACGTCGGAAGAACTCGCTCGGACGAATTGGTTGCGAGACACCCAGCGTACGTCTGGTCGCACTTGATCCCGCTAGAACTCTTGCCCGACTCATTCTTATTGACCCCTTCAGAGGCACTGCGCGAATCCCTCGAAGGGGCATTCGCCCTCGAGTCGGACGTCGTCCCGGACGTCCTGTGCCTCGGGCTTGGGAGCCCTGCATCGTCGCGTGATGCCCGTGCTCAACTTGCATTCCTCCTTGCAGCGTGCGACGATCTGCGCATAGTGTGTCGTCTTCCCATGTATGTAGGGCGTTCTCATCAAAACTTCACCGCGTGTTCATCTCCCCCAGCCACGCAAGAACGTGTACGTCTTCGACCCCGTATTCACGGACCAGGATCGCGAGCTTCTCGCGCAGCTCGGCTTGACTTCTCTCCCCGAGAACCGCGTATGTCTCCATTCTTGCCTCCTGCGCTTTCTATTCTGACTGCTATCCTGGACGCGCGTGTGCGCATTTACGCTGTCTTGTTGGCGCTATATGGTTATTTTTGCTGACTCTGCCTGACTCGGCGTCCGCAGGTGGCCCGGCACAGAGTACAATCGCCCACGATTGTCTTCATGCCGCATTGCGACCTTCACCTCTATGACAATCTCTTCCGCGAGAACTGGGGCAAGGAGCAGCTGCCCCGCATACTCCTGATCGCCAATCGCCTAAGCGAGTATGCTGCAAAGTACGTACACCCCTTGCCGCGGTGCTTTTCCGAGGCTCTCGTGCTCCGATCCTGTCCCTGCGCCGTGCCCCCGCATGCTCCCCGCACCCCCGAAATCCGACGCCCCCTTCCGTTCATACTTCCCGGGTCATCTGTCGTCCCGTTCGCGCGTTGCTGACTTGGTTCTCTTACGCGCTATGATGTTACAGCATCCCATCAAGGAAGCTCAACGCGGAGTATCCGTGCGTCGCACGTCTCGGTATGTTCCCCGCTTTCCTCTGCATGTGCGCTCCGTATCTCACCCCTTTGCAAAACCTTCCCCTATTGGCGGCCGCTTCGTTTGCCAACGTCCCGTCGCCGAACGTCGCTACGACAAACGATGCCCTGACCCTGGAATTTGCCATTCCCCTCGGCGCGATCCCCCGCGTCCGCGTTACGGCCAATCGTCGTCCTCATCTCGCTCCCGTTCCTCGCTTCCTTGCTCGCTTCGGTGTTCTCACCTCCCCTTCCCCCTTTGTGCTTGCGTTTCTTGCGGGCGCCACATGCAGCACCCTATCTGACCAGCCGGCCGCTGCAGCCGAGCGTCGCGTTCCCCACCGCCTTCAACAACACCGCGTTCCAGTTCGTGAGCGCCGGAAGCCTGGCGGAACGAAGCCTTGGCGACGGCGAGGACGCGCCCGACTGGTGGACGCTCCCCCCGATGACGACGACAGCCACTGAGACCGTGGAGGCGTCAGAGGCCGTTCACAGCGTGGGTCCCGGTGACGATATCGCGACGCCCGGGGCCGGATCCTATTCTGAACCCAAGCAGCCGAGGGTTGGTAGTGCGGACGCCAGTCCGACGTCGGCCTCGCGATCGGCGATGCCCATTACGGAGGCGCCAAGTGCGTCGTAGCCTTGCTCGACGGCAGTGATGTGCCGGTCGACACCGGGTTGTCGTCGACTTTTGTCGACTTGTCAACTGATGACGAAGGCTACAGGTGCACAAAAGCGCACGTCAACTTTCGCACAGGGCGGTCTACCTGTGCAGGCGCCCAGGCACTGTATATGATTGGGCGACGCGCTATCGCGAACGCGTTCAATCGACATATTGGGATTACTCTGTCGATTTTGCTGCAACTCTTTGACTCCCGCCATCGATGGGCTCTAGCTTATTCCCCCTTCATGTAGTGCTCTGTATACCTCGTAGCTAATGAATACGTCCTGCATACAACCATAACGGCGGCATACACTGAGGCTCAAAAATCTGCGGAAAGCGAGGCAGCGGCTAGATGTCTAGCTACCGAACGTGAGTAGTG